TATAGACAGGAACCTGTTTTTTTTTTTTCTCATTTAAAAGAGGGACCGAGATGGTGTATAGGCTGGGCAGCCAACTTGGGACCAGAATGTTTCAGGTTCAACCCCCCGCCATGCTCACATGTTGCGGTGTCCTTGAGCAAGACACTCAATTCCTAACTGCTCCCCTGGTGCCCACAGAGCAGCCCGCTGCTCCACCTGGGTGCATCTCAGGTGTGACGGGTTGAATGTAGCAAATTAATTTCATTATTGTATAGAAACATACAATGATGACAACACATAGCTCTTTCTTTCTTTCAAGTTTGGCATTTGGCTATAGCTATGTTAATTTATTCTGTTTAGTTTATGTTTTTGACTTACATTCAGATATTTTAGGTTACCAGTTATGGTAAGGTGACTGGAAAATTTAGAGAAAGCCATTCATGTCTGTTGGTCAGGCTTGCTATAACTTCAGACTATCACTGTCAGATTGTGATTGATGCTGAGAAAGAAAAATGAAAGCAACGATTTGCCAACTTAACACAGATTCAATCCTGCCAATCAAAACAAGAGAAAGATGGGTTGGCAAGGGGTAGAAGAGGACACAATTAGTTTATTACCTGTAGGACACACAAAAGTTGTGAAGTCAGAAAAGAACTGAAGTAGAAATAATACGTGTAGAAAACTATACATAGAGCATTCTGTTGGGACCACTTACAAGGAGTGGAAGTTTTGTTTCTGTATGAAGCCAGTTCAGTTGTGGGGTATCCCACCACACGGGAGGCTAATGGGTTGTTGATTGATTGTCCAATCCCATCCTGTCTTTAAAAAGGAAATCATTTGATAAATAATTGGTCTTTTTTTTCCCCCAAGTTTAATGTTTGGATTCATGCACATATTATGTTTCAATTAGAGAAAGAGCTTCAGCTCCAAGGTAGGAGTTCTAATCTACACAGACATTAATCTTCTTCTGTGTCTAAAGTGTTTGCACATGTGTGTGCATGTGTGTGGCTGCCTATTTGCCTTTGCCTGGCTGTCACTTATCTCCCTTCCTGTAACGCTGATCGCACCGTCCTCGTTTTTCCAAGGAGAGGCGTTAAATTATCTCAGGTTCTGTTGAACACATTCTAATCAAGTGGCGGAAAATGTGGGCACGCCGTCTCGTTTAATGGGGTCAACAGCGGCTACATGTGTCGCTGTGTAAATCACCACATTCGTTCTTTGATGCCAACGTTGTTGTTTCCTCTGGGTTTTAGGCTGGTTATCTTTCTTTATCGTGTGTGTGCATGAGTGCAAGAGTGTGTGCATTTCTTTTCTCACACACAGTTTGCTTTGAAACCCATTTACAGCACTTCTAGCACGGACAGCTGAATCAGCACAGCCTCCTCTGCTTTTCTCTTCACTTTTTGCACATTTATGAGCGTCCAGGGAAGCCACAGTCTGTCTGTAAACACACAACCCGAGGGCAAAACCTAATGCACACATTCTGCTTACACCCCATTAAACACACTGTGAACAACCTACAGTGACCCATTTTCAAAAGAGCCAGTTTAACACATCTGAAGCTTCCTCGCTTGTCTTTATAAGATGCCCATCTGCATGCAAGCACTTCTCTGTCTCCCCTTTTATACTTCAAATATGATGACACATACGTTCTCTCCTCCTCTCCTGCTAGAAAGTCATTTTTGATCTTTGTTTTATCATCTTGTAATGTCTGATATTGTTGGAAGTTATTGCCCCACAAAGTGACTCTGCAGCTGTTTTGTGATTCCACACATGTCAACAGAGCACTTTCAAGAGTCTCAGTGTTCTTGTATTAGTTGGAGCTTGATCTTGTTACTGGGGAAGTCTGTGGTAAAAGTCAAGCGAGTTTGCAAACTTCCACTCCTACACTGAAAACATCCTTACTCTCTCTCCTATAGAAACCTTAAAGTCTTTATAGTATCCCACAAACCCAGTGGCACTTTAACACAGTCTTCCACTGTGGTTCTGGTGGATTCACAACATAGCTGTGGACTCTTTTATGAGCTTTCTGTGACTGTTTTGCTCTGGTCTCGTATGTATATTTGGATGTGGCAGTTTTGTTGTGTGTTAACAGAGTTTTATGACCAGACATGAGGTCAGTCAGTTAGCCTTGTGTGCCTGTTAGCCACAGCAAAAGAGATGGTGGACTAACCAGTGGCCTGAAAGCTGAATGGGTTGTTTTGTCCTTTCCACGTGTTTTTTTTTTTTTACACTATCAGTTATTAAAATCTGAGGAAGGTGATATGAATAGAATAAAGAAAGGTGTCAGAAAATTTGTAATAGTGTTACAATTTTAAAATCACTGACAATTGTTTCATTATTATTATTTTTTTCAATACACCCCTATTCCACACCACTCCCAACACACTCGTCTAACAGATGCCCTCACAAAAAAAAAAAAAAAAAAGAAAGTGACAACTGACAAAAATACTCACCATTCTGGGATGTGGATTCTGGTAAAATGAAAGCTATTCACTCATTTCACAATTCATGTGTATTTCATAACCCAAAAAGATTCAAGATAAGAAGAACCTGTTTTTTTTTTACGTTGCTAAAACATGTTGCCTAAACTGAACGGAGTCATTCAAGTCTTAATTTTGAATACAGAACAAATTCAATAATTACTGAGGAAAACCGGTGCTGATATAAACATTGATGCATCTCATTCAACTTAGTAAAGACTAATGTTAGCAGCATGATTAAAGACTTTTAAGTTTTTCACATTTTTGTCACATTTTGGTTAAGAAATTAACACATACACATAGTTTAGATAAACGTTTTACCCCGTACCTTATCTTGTTACAAATACAGAAAACAAGGATTGCATAAAAAGAGAATAGGGGTCACTTCAAGATTTTTATGATAGGTGTTGTACTGGAAAACACAACAGAACTGGAGAAAGAGACATGACAGTTGCCAAACAAGATGGTACATTATCAACATATTGCATTAACGTCAGCAACATGCTGGTGGGAAAAAAAAAAAAGAGTTGCAGCAATGATTTGAAATTGAATACAGTAGTCCCTCACTACTTCACGGTTCGTTTATTGCAAATTCGCTCTTAAAAAAACTGAAAAGCCCCATGAATGTTTTGAGACTTTGGAGACTCTTTCTCCAAAGATAGGTAAGATGCTGCTTTTGTTGGAGTCAACATCATTATTCTACTTTAAACAGATAAAGAACTGCACGGTGGATCAGTTGGTAGAGCTGTTGCTTCTAAGCAAGAAAGTCGCTGAATCAAACCCCAACCAGGGACCTTTCTGGTTGGAGTTTGCATGTTCTCTCTGTACTTGCATGGGTTTTCTCCAGGTACTCCAGTTTCCTCCCACAGACCAAAAACATGCATGTTAGGTTGACTGGTTACTCTAAATTGTCCCTAGGTGTGAGTGAGAGAGTGAATGGTTGTTTGTCTCCAAGTGTCCCTGTGATGGACTGGAAACCTGTTCGGGCTGTACCCACCTCTCACACAGTGATGGCTGGACATGGGCAATGGTGACCCCCGCGACCCATAAAGGAAGATGCGGGTAAAAGATAATGGATGGATGGATGGATTAATATTTATACCACTGTATCCGTCCCTAATGGAGGTTAAAATAAGGCTTTTATTCACATAAATGTTAATATTATTCATAATTTGGTCTGTCTGTAAAAAAAAAAAATATATATATATAGGATCAACTCTGAGTGACGGTCCTTGTTTCAAGCAAGCATGCTCTCAGAAATATGGAACGATGGTGCCACAAAATGTATTTCTCAAAATGTTTCTCCCTTTTAAGAACTGTGTAATAAAACGACTAAAACTTCTGTCTTTACACAATTATGAGCATACCCTACATCTACCGTCAAGCTGTTGTGATCAATCAGCCTTGTCCCATTAAATTTATAACCCTTCCCCCTTAAGAGTGCAGCAACGGCACCGCTTTCTCCCCCACCGGAGAGCTTGCTAAAATACCAGACATTTATCACAGTTATTATAGTCATTAAATCCTTGCACACGGTGCTGAATCTTCTCAGCTTTGTGTTGTAGTTTTGTTTGGCTTTGTTTTGTTTTTTGAGGCATGAGAGTAAATGGATTAGGTCATTGCCTTCACTTAGGGACAGGGCTATCAGCAACAATAATCTTTGTCCTCCACTGCAGCCTTTCAGATTTAAAACTTTGACACATCTTAGCACCTTCCAGAACTGAGTGCCACCTAGGCTTTTTACAGGACTCTGTGTTCTTGTTATCATGGCTGATACTATTACTCTGGCTGTATTTTTAAAAGTGCACAGTGAATTTAAGCACAGCTGCAGCTCAGAAGGTGAAGCAGGTCATCCAGTAATCTGAGGGAAATGTTACATTTTTGCTCTTGGTGTTAATGTGTCCAGGTGCTATTAAGCAAGATATGAAATTCCAATCTTCTCCCAATTGTTTTCTAGTTTGTACATCTTTGTGTGTTAAAATTGGACAGTTATCTGCTTGTGTGGAAGCAGTCTGCACTATAGTGCAATGACAGGATAAAGGGATGAGAGAAGCACTTTATAAATACAGTCTAACTCCCTTTTAATTTTTCAGAGGTTTCCTGATAACACAAATAAGGGATAGTTTTTAGTTGTTATTTGTTTTTTATGAAAATAACAATGTTGGGGCCTTTCAAATGAAGCCTGATTAATTTTACACAAATTTAGGTTTTGCATGAAAATAAAAATACATCTGTCTTTTATTTCATCTTTCACCTCTGACTTGCTTATAAAACTCCTTTATTGTCTCACTTGTCAGCGTACTTAGGAACGAAAATGCTAAATGTACATTTTTTGGTGTTACAAGCTTCTATAAAGACATTAATAGCCCTAAACTATTAAAATTGATCTTGCTGTTTTCCATCTCACTCAGTTTTTATATCTTCTCATCACTTTTGCAGAATTATTCACAAGTCCCAGATGCTTGACATAATGAGTGTGAACCCACTTGTATTTATTTTCTTCATTTATTTCCTGACACAGACTTTTTCTTGTTGCAGCATGCCCACCGGGCACCTTCAAGTCAACCCAAGGTCCAGGTCTCTGTCTCCAGTGCCCTTCCAACAGCCGCTCCACAGCTGAAGCTGCCACTGTTTGCGTGTGCCGCAATGGTTATTACCGCGGGGATGGCGATCAGCCAGATGAACCCTGCACCAGTGAGTATACCACACAGGATATCACATACGTTTGAAAGTACTCACTTTGATATTCTTGTATAGGACATGTAACTTGTAAGAGGCTTTTTTAAGGCTTCTTTATTGGTTAATGGCATAAATGGCAACAGTAACACTAGATAGATTTGTGAATGATTCCTTCTTATCTTAATGTCACACTTATTTTTTTTTTCCATTGTCAATCCAGCTCAGGAAGTTAGATTTAAATGAGTACAGTATCTAAATCACAACTGTCCTTTGAACACAGCACATTTTTTCTTTGCACCTCCATCACTGTACCAATGAGCTTCTTGTCCATTTCTCTTCAAACGTCTCCTTTATTTAAATTTAACTTTGCCTCATTTTTTCCTCTTTTTTTCTGTTATCATCCCCTGAAGTCCTAATTACTCAGGCAGATGCTGTGAAGCTTCAACATTGTCCTGCCGTTATCCGCTGGAGATCCAATAAGGCCTCGCACAGCATCATAGTTATCTTAATATGATGTAAAAGCAATATGCTAAGCATTCCTGCTCTCCCAACTGACACACAGTTACATAGAGAGAAAAAAAAAAGAAGTTTGCTTTCCATGTTTTTCTTTTGCTGATGTTACAATGTGCATTTTTATTTGTTCTTCATAGATAGCCTGGATGAATTAGTTATCTGGTTATCTCTTAATTAATGCAGCTTTTTTAACAAACAAGTTTAGTTAATTGGCTTTCTGAACGGGCTCAGGGCCACTTTGTTATTACTGGTTGTGTGATCTTCATATCTAAAACATGCCTTTACTAGAAGTCCTTTGGCGTGAATTGTTTTTTTAATAATTTTATACAAGTGCTTTACAGCTCTAATTATATTATTGTGGCATTCGTACATTTAAGTTGTCTAAAAAGTGGAAGACATCGCTTCTTCGTTTTGCGTTTTCAATGTTCTCCCCTGGTATAATACATGGCTCTCTGGTGAATTAGTAAATGTTCTATCAACTATAGCATCTGCTTCTACCTTGAGGCCTCACATTTCCCCCAAGCAATCTCCACAAAAGCTCCCCGCTGATTATCTTGAACAGATCCCTATGGTCTGCTCAGCCTGTTACTTTTCTTTCTGATTTCAATCATTCGAGTCTTTTCCTCTCTGTCAGATCTCATCTTTCTTTCTCCTTAGCTCAAGACTTTTCTCTCATTTTGCACTCATGGAAAAAAAGAATCTTAGTACTTTTTTCTTTTCTCCAAAAACGTCCTTAATATATGTTCATGCACACATAGAATGTTCTTTTGTGTCTGTTTTCAGCTGCGACGTTTGCCAGTATCATTAAAACCGGCTTCAGTCCTTCTATTTTTGTCATTGTAATTATTTTACAGCGTCAGCAGCACATTCAACGCTTCCTATAATGGATGAAACATATTGTAGCAGCTTAGCTTGATTTTCTGGGTGCCCTAGAACACAGTAGGAGGGCTGCTGAGATCATCCTAGTAAGAATCTCTTTAATACTGTGGGTCCCGATAAGACCACTGCCAGAGTAGCTTAAATCAAGCCAGTCTAGAGTGGCAGAAGCTGTAGCTTAAGTGCTTCTCAGCAGCGTCAGAAGCGCAGGTCTCTGTATGCTCCAAATCAGCCTGATTAGCCTGCTGATGGATCATCCAATCCCTGGCTCTGTCAGCAGGGGGCCTCATGCTATACCCCCCCCCCCCCCCCCAACCCATCTCCACCAGTCTCTTCCTTCAGGGTTCTGAATATGCCAGAACTGGGATGCATTTCAAACTATTCTTCAGTCTCTCACCCTCTCCTTTCTCCCATTTCTCTGCCTTGTGCTGTTTTCAATATTTGCCTGAGGGTAGGAACACCACAAGTGTTCAGTCTCTCAGTGTGAAGCCCACCGTTCACTCAGACTGCCCAGTAAAGTAAGTACTTTTGGGATTGTGGCTTGCATTTTTACTTTATGCTCTTCCTGTCCCTTGCCTGGATTTTAAGCCCAGTGTGACCTTCAGTACCTGCCATTCCCTCTAGGTGTGAATGTGAGGAAAAGAGTTATTGTGCACATGTGAGAGCATTTCAGTAGGAAAAGGTCAGTCAGTTTCAGCATGCAGGGCCGTGGGGATTTTCTCAATGTGTGAGTCAGGAAGAGAAAGACTGACAGGCTGAGTAGTGACTGGGGGAACTCTAGAAGTTACAGATTGGTCCATAGAGGAGAGGGATACAGTGATGGATCATGCTTATGGAAGGGATGGTGAAAAAGAAACAGTGAAAGGATAAAAGACAGTTAATAATATTGTTTAATTAAATAAAATAAAAAATCAACTCATAGTGAGGTTATATAGTATTGTGTTATTGTAACATTCAAATATTGGTATTTGAAAGTTTAAATGACTCCATAAAAACTATTATTTTACAAGTTATTCATTCTTTCAATTTATCACAAATGTTGCACCTACACATGTTTAGGAAAAAACATTGAAATGCTTATGCATTTGCACATTTACGTCTTAGAAACTATCACAAATAGTTTCAAATTAATTCACATAGACAATTTAATAATAATAATAAAATAAATGAAAACTGATATTGAGAGTTGTATATTTCAAACAAACTCAGCCTCTATTTTTTTTTCTTTACATCTTTCATAAGGTAAATATTGAGAAGTGAGCATCCATCTCCAATGATTATCTATATATTTATTTTTTCTGCTGGAGTCTCTTGAGGTTCCATATCACTAGCTGTCAGCTAGCTAGTTTCCTGTTTTCATGTGCAAGTAATTTAAAATCAAATTGACCTAAATCAAGTATTTTATTTGACTACTCTTATTCCTCTTCTATTTAGGAAGACATGGTTATTTAAAATGAGTAATGAAAAGTTATACAAGTTTCTCTGCTGCACATTTGATGCAGTACATGAAGTCTAGAATCACTGTGGTCTAACATTTTCAGTAAAAATAGTAATGTGTTTGACATGTGGCTTTATTCAGCTTAAAATATTCAAGATGGGGAGTTTGACTTTTATTACGTTTATCTGAAATGTACACACTTTAACCTGCACTGATCGTACACTCAGCTACTTTGCAAGGCATCTCATCTGATCTAAAGTTACCACGTTTGCTTATTTTAGGCAACTTTGGGCTCGTGTTTTCAAAGGGATCAGGTTGCTTATATTTGTGAAATAAATATGGCAACACCAGCTCGCCCGTACAGAATGGAAAACAGAATCGCTGTGGCTATTAAAAGAATAAGCATTTTTAAAAGTGGGAAAAAAAAGCTAATTCTCATTTCTGCATGTTTTGCTTTCAAGAAGTGAAAAAAAAGCACAAAACTCAAGTACTTCCTAAAAATGTGCATAAATGCAAGAAAGCACCAGTTTTCTGTTGTAACAGTTTGCTTCCACTTCTTTAGTTGCATAATAAAAGTAAAGGCTGCAAGCGAGGAATGATCCGTGGACTTTAGCTTGAACACTTCTGCTTCCATGAGTTCCCAAGAGGGTTCTCCTCGGACATGTCTGCAGGCAGGTGGTGCTATTTATAAACCTTCACTTTGCATTTTTATGTAACTGTGGTAGCTTGGTGGTCAATACTGAGGTCTTGTAATGCGGAGGACTGCACGTTTGAGCCCAAGTTGCATTTGGAAGGTCATCGGGCGTTAAACTATAGACATGCACGTTTGCTTGCTATGACGACTGCCGAAAGAGGCAGCAGCCAAAAGAACAAAAGCTCATTTAATGTGGTCAGGTTAAAACAAGCTAAAGTCAGATCTGATGATTCCTCAGAGAGTTTTCTTTTAAGTGGTGAAGGATCAGCATAGACAAGTTATTGACTGTCTGATCGAGCTCTTGGATTTTCATGCGGATTGAATGTTTTATGTGTGCCTTATCGAGACTTTTTGTTTTATGGCAACAAACTTTGATACGTTGCCACTCCCACACGGTTTTATGTAGACTTAGGTTCTGACAACTTTTAATCCCACTAAGTCTCTGTGTTTGAAGTTGATGAGGTAATGCATGGGAGAAGTTTGTTCAAAAATAATCTGCACACATTTCTGAAAACTGCACTCAACAAACTGCAAACATTACTCAGTGTGAGAGACATCAAAAGTAATTTTGATATCTCTAGATGACCTGATTTAACTTTTTTGTGATTTTTCACCAATGTTTTTTTTTTAATTTTATTAATTAATTTATTTATTTTACTTAAGGACAAAATCTTGGTATGCTCATGCTGAGTTCACTTTTACAATATCCCTGCTAAAACAGCCCCCTCTATTCCCAATGACATCTCTTAAATATATATATTTTATGTATTTTTGGTCTGTTAATACTTGGGTATTCTCAAAAAGTATTTTAAATTTCATTAATGTATTTCATCTGTCATCTGTTTTACAGTAAACAGACGAATGATGTTAATGAACTTTCTGAGCAGTGGCTAATTTCTTGCGTGCAACAAAAACAGGAAGAAAAAAAAAAAAACATTATTTTATAAAACAATAAAACACAAGGGGTAAATTAAAATAACTGAATATATTGCCAGTATTCAAAGCAAACCTTTGTAAGATCTTTAAAGTGTTTTGAAAACAGCAGCTTGAGACGTCTTTAAAAATTCATGCAATTTTTGGTTCATGCTGAAAAAAAAAAAATGAGATCAAGCTAAAAGACAAATCTTTTTGTATCTTTTAGTCAGTGAGAAAGAAAGCTTTTATACCACGTTTTATTCAATCTCTCACCAAGCTGGCTTTCTCTCTCCCAGCTTCTTCGGCTATGATTTGAATTTTCACCTAAATAACTTTCTGCTGATCCTCTCACCCATTTTACATCAAAATGCAAGCAGTTTAAAAAGATGAGGCATGCTAATGTCCATAAACCAAAAGGGTAAATATTTTGTGAGGTAAGGCAGAATATATATATATATATTTTTTTTTTTTTCTGGTGTTTTTTTAGACTCCTCTCGATGAGTGAAAGGTACTTTTTTTGTGTATTTGTTTAACAAACTAAACATAGACAGTTGTAATTTAAATTTGTGCTTGCAAGGTTTCATTCCCTTAACACATTTACTTTAATGTCACATAACTAGTTTGGTCAAATATAAACTATATATTATTTATAAGAACACCTGACATGGAATTATTGCTAATATAATCATACAGTTTGCCAGTCTTTTCTATTCAATTCAATTCAATTCAAAAGTACTTTATTAATCCCAAAGGGAAATTAAATGTTATTGTAACTCATTATCCTTGTTACATTAAGAAATACTGATGGCTGTAGGCAGGAAGGATCTCTTGTTAAGATCCGTCCCACAACAGATCCGAAGAAACTGGCTGCAGATGCTGTCTGATCCGTCCACCTAGACTTGACTGACCTCTCGGTTTCTCCAGGCAGCAGAACCACTCGAATGCCGGGCTGAGCTCCTCCCGGAGTGATGGGCACTCCTCCCAGCAGCCTGCCAAGTTCCTTGTTGCTGTGGACAGCCGGCTGCAGGTGCCACGGGACGATCCTGTCCTTCTGCTGTCACGAGCCGTGTTTCCTGCTAGTTCCAGGATTTCAGTGGTCAGGAACCCGAGCACAGCCGGCAAGGAGATGGAAATGCATCTATGGCGCCTCCTTTTCAACTCGTTTGAGATATTATTAGATTTTTTTTTAAGTGTTAATCAGCTGCTCCTCCCGTTGTTAAAAAAAATCACCTTGTTATGGTTATGCATCATAACAAATGTCCAAAACTAAAAACGTTTCAGTAAAAATCCTTCCAGCTGCACAGCATCCGATACCAGAGGAAACAATCATTCAAAAAAATGTGATTTACATCCAGCAAAAGAGGAATTAAAGTTTCCAAAAGCAAAATCTCAGAATGAATGTAACAGAGCTACTCCAACATGCAGCCACCCCGAGCAGCACCATTCTAAAACTTCTATGCAGATGATCACCCTGTAGATACTAGCTTGGACACTTGTTGCATGTAAATATTTTATGTCATTTGTCAAGCATTTGCACATTTTCCCCCTCTCACGGAAACTGTGTTTAGTTTGCTGCTGTAAATCAATTTAGTTAGCCAGCATCATGATGTGCTGCTGTGACTGCCACATCTGTTAAAGCAATTATCCTTGTTGTGATTGCACGATTAATATACATCAATACATGTCAGAAAATATTTAGCACTCCCTTAGCTTAAGTGAAAGCAAATATTGTGTAAGTGCAATAAAATCGGATGGCCATAGCTGACTAAACTCTATCTTAGAGGCTTTTAAGTCAAGTTATCCCACAATAAATCTAATTATAAATTTAAAGAGCCAAACGATACAATAATCGTCTGCAAATCATTCTTTAAGTGGCAGTCTCATCCGACTTAAGTAACCTCTGAACCAGCAGTTGTGCTCTCACAGATGTTTGTTGGTTCAGTGAAAAAATAAACTGATGCATTGACACAAAAACGTATTGGCTCAGGTTCATGAAAACTGTTTGGGTGTAGTTTTTTTTTTACAGTGGCACTCGTGTGTTTTTTTCATTAGCAATGCAAGTTTAGGAGTGTGAAGAAGTATGTGATGGATGATACAAAGTATACACAGCGCATGGGGAATGTATGAAGTGCCGACTGAACAGTTCCTCAGAGAACAGCAGTGCGTCTAGTCCATGGGACACCCTTTTGAGCTGTATTTCTTCTACACATACAATGCATCTTGTAGCATCAAAAGACCAAATTAGATGGCATTTGACCTGCATCTGGAGCACTATCTATCCCCTCAGCCAGACCATAATAATCCCACTGTGGAGGTCATGCCCTTCCTGTCACTGACCTCTCTTGCTGTTCAGGCACAGAGATGAGGTTGCAGCCATAACAGGGTTGCTCTGTCACCCTTGTGTGTTTTGTCGCTTTGTCCCAGTTTGCCAGGTCTATCCCACTTGGCTTGCAACAACAATGATTAATCACGTCTCTGTGTAGAATGAAGTAACCCCGACTTCCTCCTACAAAAATGCAATGCTAAAGTGATGTATTGTTATATGCTTACAAATTTATATACAGTTATTTTGTCATACATTCTACACAAAATCGAAGAAATATAATAAAGTATGTTACACTGTGAGTAAATCCTCAAAGGTTTTAACAGTTGATTGGATCAATTTAAAATTGTCATGAACCTAGAGACGGGTCAGTACACTGTTACTTTTCTTTATATAATAAAGACTTGGCTTTATGGAGGATGAATTGGTACCAGATTACTTCTCCAGGGCTGCCTTATTCAGCCTGAACAGCACTGACCAAGGACTTTGGATAGATTGCGCTTTCTCTGGTATTTGAGAGAGAAAAGCTGCCTCTGTGCAGTCATGGGGACTCAGCATATCTGCTAAGCATAATTCTTCTCTGTCATTGCAGCAGATTTTAACTCGTAAAGAATCATACTGCAATTCCAAGAGACAAGCCTGGCTTTTTTGTAACCTGATAATAAGCCACCACTCATTCAGAACAATAGTTGTGTTATTTCTTGATTTCTTTTTAAATATAGTTTTTGAGCTTCTACTCAAGCTGTGATCTTTAAGGGATTGAATAGAACCATGAATTTGCAGAGCCACTTGGATCAGAGTACTCCTTGCTACACTGCATTTCTGTAAATAACCAGTATTTGATAGACATTACGGTTTCACTGTATGATCTCTGTGAATGTGAATAGAATAAATTAGCATTTCCATTGTGCTTTAGATGGAGAAATTTTACACAAGAGCCTCAGACAATAGCACTTACATTTATTACAGTGCTGTAAAATATGTACTTTCACCAAAGAGAATTGGCTATTTCCTTTACTTGCAATGCAGTGGTTTTCTTTAAGCTTCATGATCGCTTACTTATGGTAAAATGTGTTGTGGTGCAAAAATAGCTGAGTTTGATGTATTCAGAATTGACTCACATAATGTTGCTTTATTTTTTTCAGGTGTTCCATCCAGTCCAAGAAATGTGATCTCCATCGTGAATGAGACCTCAGTAATCCTGGAGTGGCACTCTCCCAGGGAGACAGGCGGTCGGGATGATGTCGTTTACAATATAGTGTGCAAGAAGTGCAAAGCCGACAGACGCTCTTGTTCCCACTGCGATGACAACGTGGATTTTGTTCCTCGACAGCTGGGTCTGACAGAGACCAGGGTCTTCATCAGTAACCTACTGGCTCACACGCTCTACAGCTTTGAGATACAAGCTGTGAATGGTGTCAGCAATAAGAGTCCTTACCCAGCACAGCATGTCACCATAGACATCACTACCAACCAGGCTGGTACGTACCTAACAATCCTTAGTCGTGATAAGTATAGTGGTTATGTGCTAAACAAATATCGTTGCATGTTTTATTCTAATTTTCATGCATGTGTATTTCCTGCTTTTTGGTTTAAGCTGCAATCACCTTTTACTTATTTTTTTCCAAAATGCCACACTGCAGCAGCCCTATTTAACGATAACACCCACACAAGGTGAAAACAAAACACGACTGATTTATTAATAAGAACAGTGATTAGCAAATAGTTCAGTCTTGCAACACAGTTAACTTCTGTCATTTAACTTTCTTATTTATGACATTATGCTGCCACACATGAGACATGGACCCAATGTGTGATAAATATTAAGGAGGCATGTGCTGATAGTGGAATTGAAAATATCGTTATAATGCAATAAATCTAAAAGTCATGGAGTAAAATCACAGTGACTGACAATGTAACTCCTTTGGTTGGGGAAATAAAAGATCTCCCAAGCTTTTTTTTTTTTTTTTTTTTTTTTTTTTTTTTACAGTAATGCACAGATAAGTACTGCAATGTTTCAGCATTCTTACATGTGCACTACACATACATTTAAAGCACTTAGAGACAATAAAGCAGTATTGATTTATTTTATTCTAACAGTAACTTGTCTATAGCAGTTTTATTTCCATCTAACCCTGTCTGTTGTATTTCAGACTGGATTTGCAAAAATATAAACTCTCTTATTCTAAATTTATATTTGTGATTGTATATTTTAAAAGAGCATCATGTTGCATACTGTGAATTTCAGAGTTACATTCCATAGCTCAGCAGGCTCCATGGCTACTTAAGGTTCATTTTGAATAATGAATGCTTGTTAAAGCAAAAGTGGGTGGTGAATTAATGTGCACCTTTCATCTATGTATTAAAATATTTGCTTTCCTCACTGAAATCTCTGTAGTGAAATTCACACTCAGACAGAATCTACAACTTCTTATAATTCAAGCAAAGCAAACTCAACTTTCTGTTACATTTACCTTTCTTTTCAAAGTTATTTAATCATCAAATCCTTCAAGCTTAACCAAGATACATTTCTTTGTTTGGCGTTCCAAATTCAACCTCTTGCACAACAGAAATATTTTCTCCACAAACAACAAAAACTCATGATGAGAAAACTCAGTTTGAACATTAGGAGTGGGGACGTATAAGAAACTGTGAAAAATGTGTGAACATATAGTTTATTTATTTATTTTTAATCTCACCTTTTGATTCAATAAACAGTTTTTATTTTGAATATATATCAGTATGTAGCACGGTGGCACAACTGGTAGAGCTGCTGCCTCTCAGCGAGCAGCTTACCCTGGTTCAAATCCTGGTCTGGGGGCCTTTCTGGGTGGAGTTTGCATGTTCTCTCCGTGCATGCGTGGGTTTTCTCCGAGTACTCCGGTTTCCTCCCACAGACCAAAAACATGCATGTTAGGCTGATTGGTAACTATAAATTGTCCCTAGGTGTGAGTGAGACAGTGAATGGCTGTTTGTCTCGCTTGTCTCTTTGTGGCTCTGTGATGGGCTGGAGACATGTCCAGGGTGTACCTGCCTCTCGCACAGCAATAGCTGGACATGGGCACTGGCGACCCCCATGACCCAAAAAGGAATAGACATCCTGCCAGACATAAATGTGGAAAGAATTGTTGTTTTGTTTTTTGGAGCAGTTTAAATTCTGTAAAGCTACAAGTTCATTTATATTTTTACATTTAATACATAAAGTAGAATAAGTTTGTAATTATTTATTTTATCTATTTATTTTATCGATATTTGTAAAAAAAAAAAAAAAAGCTGTAAGCCTTTTTATATTTGTCTATTGTTGTCGCTGTTGTCCATTGTTGTCATCTTTCTTTGTTGAAATCAGGTCTCTCTTGTAAATGAGTCCTCGAGGCTCAATGGAATTGACCTGTCTAAATAAAGGTTGAATGAATGAATCTTTACATTAGCCAATGACAAACGTACAGAATCAGAATCTACTGAGCTCATTGAAAGAGCAGTACCTGATATGTTGAACCAAACCAATATAAAATATAGAACAAATTCACTAATTGTTTTTTTTTTTTATTAAAAGACACTATTTTGTGTGCCTATTATGTATTATAACTCAGATATCAAACTTGGAATCTGAATCTAACCAATTAAAATAATAGGCCATCATCCACCTATTCATCCATTATATTTACCTGCTTTTTACTTTTCGGGTCATGGGGGTCACTGGTGCCCATGTTCAGCTATCACTGTGCGAGAGGCAGAGGACACCCTGGACAGGTCAGAAGTCCATCACCGAGACGCAGAGACAAAAGAGATGAACAACCATTCATTCTCTCACTCACACCTAGGGACAATTTAGAGATACCAATCAGCCTAACATGCATGTTTTTGGAATGTGGGAGAAAACCAGAGTATCTGGAGAAAACCCCTGCATGCACAGAGAGAACATGCAAACTCCACCCAGAATAGCCCCCGTGCTGAGAATCGATCTGGTGACGTTTTTGCTGAGAGGCGGCAGCTCTACCATCTGCGCCACCGTGACGCTCTGTCAACATATGTGTTTACAATAATCAGTGCAACTTTTTTCTTTTGAATCATTGTTTTGGGATGAGTTATAAACAAATTATTATTTAGGTCTTTCTCTTGGTCAATAGAATAAAGTAAAATTGTAAATTAGGGTGTCACTCGTGAAGTTTATTTAATGTTTGGTGAAAGACAAGACATTTCCAGCTGAGTCCAAGTAGTTAATGTTTTTATAGTGGTCCATTATTGTGGCTCTTGGGTCTTTAAAATCTTTCATCTTTTTTGCTCTGACGTATTTTTGTATGTCTTTTATATAGTGCAGATGAGCACTTAGCTCTGCAGATACATATTCTCATCCAGCGATGGAATACCAGACATTAAATTAATTCAATTTCAGTCCATTTTACCATTAATTTTAGAATGAACTTACCCTACAGTTATCTCAGAAACCAGTGAAAGAGTAATTGCTTTATCCAGGTTTTTTTTTTTTTTTTTTGTATTGGAGCATATTTTGAAATTACATTTTCCTTGACCTTGATGTCATACCACATCTGATTACATCAGCTCTTGGTAGAACATAATGACCAACTGCACTTGTCTTTGTTGAAGCATGACATAAGAGAAGAATGGGCAAAAAGACGAGGCAAGATGGAGAAATGAGGTGCTGTTTTTCTACCAGTCCCAGAAGCTATGACAGTGAAGGAGGGGAAAATGAGGGGGTAAATAGGTCTGATTATCAAGGTGGCCTAATGGTGCTGACTGTACCTATTTGACAGGCTAATAGCACACTTGACAAATAGATGTAGGAAGCATTGCCCAGGCCTATTGTTGAAGCCTGCTGCAATAATGAGGTGTCCTCCAATAGTCTGCCAGGCCTGTGTCCATCCTTTTGTGGCCCTTTTGTCGCCTGGTAATTGCACTGTTCCCAGCCTCGACAGGGGTTTGAAGAACACCGCTGACATTGTATAAGTGTACAGAAGAAAATAAAGGGAAGGGTGCACTTAAAAACTACAACCTAAAATACTTTTGAAATGCAAGCTTCTGTTTTTGTTGGGTCAAAAAGACTGCTGGTGCTTGTAGTAACAAAGCACAAGGCCATTTCTGTGAGCTACTTTGTAAGCCACATTAGTCCCAATTTTCATGCAATCTAAATAGCAACAAAAGAGAGTGTCTGAACACATGCAAAAAAAGTTCTCCATAGCCTTGCTTGTATAAACTCATTTGGCATGCATGAATGACTATGCCAGCTGACCTGATACAGAAGTGTTAGGTCATCCAGCCATTTGTCCTAGACAAAAAATACTTTATGCAAATAATTTTATTTCAATTTTATTTGTATAGCTAAGTTGATTGTCTTTTGTCAATGGGAAAATGTAAAAAAAAAAAAATAGTAATGAAAAATATTTTTTCAAGCTTATCCAACTTATGGACCGTATAACAGTATGGTTGACATTGTCTATAAATATCACTTATGGAATATAAAAAATATGAACATTTTAAATTATATAATGTTTGAACAGACAAATAACATCATATATGTAAAAATAGATTCATTTACTTTAGACAAAACTATGTATGTATGTATGTATGTATGTATGTATGTATGTATGTATGTATGTACGTACGTATGTACGTACGTATGTATGTGTGTATGTTCAAGTTTCTTTCTTGTCATTCACATCACATGTGGTACATGAGGTGGAATAAAATTGTGTCCTCAAGGTCCCAGTTACACCCCAAAATATCAAAAATATAAAGTATATAAAGAAACACTATATAAGGATCTATGATATACACTTAGATATACGCTAAATGAACACAAAACAATACGCTAAAAGTGTTATGTTATACGCTACACTAAATAATGTAAAATAATACTGTATATTAAACAGCAGCCTGAGCATGAGTCTGTAGTGAGTAAATGGGCATGAATGAATAAATACAGCAGCATGAGATAGTAAGCACATATACGTGTGTGTATGTATGCATGTATGTTTGTATTTATGTATGTATGTATGTATGTACAAATACATATATATATATATATATATATATATATATATATATAT